GTAGTGCTCAGAGGCACAGTGGTGGTGGTGGTGAGACCTGGGAGGAGAGCACACTTTGAGGCTTAATGGTTTCACCCCATGTGCCGAATCTTAAAGGTGCTTCGGATAGAACGCAAAGAGAATTTTTGCCCTTGATTTGCAAAACCCGACTTTGGAAGGATTTCCAACACACTCATCACAGGTTGTCAAATACAGACACTTGTGAAGTTCTCTTTGGCGCACCCTTTGGGTACTTGATAAAGCATCACTAAACAGCTTGGCTTTATGCATAAAAACTATGTAGTTAGGTTTAGGCACAAAGGCTGTGCGGTTAGGATTAAGCACTCATCAATAAAAAGCACATTTCACACTGGGCTCCAACAGTGGGAAGCCTGATGCAAGTAGTCATAGCAGACATTAAAAACAAATAACAAAAACAGCTGATGAAAGTGCTGCCAAACACTGCTCCAAATAACTGTGCTAAGACTGTGTGAAAAGGTCTTTGTCCACATCCAAGTGATTTCCATCGCAGTGTGTGGTGACATCAAAGCAGACCAACCACAGGACTGTGTCACTGTGCCGTATGTGACCCAGTTCTAAAACATAACTAGACTCAACTGATGGGGAACAGTCAGCCCTTGTCTCACTCTCACCTATTAGGTTGTACCAGGTGATACATTTACTCCATGGTTTCTCCAATGGAAATGCAGGTAAATTAACTTTAAAGTTCATTAAAAAGGGTTCTTGGGATCCTCAGTGGTAGAAACATGCTAATTGTGGACCTGAAACTGATTCAAACTAAAAGGCATCAGTGGATCAGCTCAGGATTTAATTAGCACAATGTGACCAACAACAAGCTCTTCAGCAGTTACATATGATGGTCATGAGCCATAGATGAAGCAGAGCCAGAAGGTTTTGTTTTTTTTTTAGAGCTTGTATGAAGGTTTAGCTCCTACCTGTAGCGACCTCCACTGAGAGCTGAGCTGTAGCTGACTCGTCATTAGATGTGTCTTTTGCCACCACCTGGAAATGTGAAGATGAAGTTAAGTGCTTAACACAAAAATCATTCACTTTAACTTGATTATATTTCTAAACTCACTTGCAGGGATAACGTGGCCTCCGGGAGATCCTTTGTCATAAATAAGTAGCCATTAATAATGGAGAAAGCACTGCTCCCATCAATGGAATAGCTGATGTGGGGATTTATACCCTGTTTGCATGGATATAAATAGATTAGACAGAAAACTCCTGAAAGTCAAGTTTCAATTCAAATTTGGTACAGTTTTTAAGCAAATTTCCCAAAAATCTAGAAAACCTTTTTAGTCCTGTGAATAGTCAGTTAGTTCATAAAGGTAAGCAGCTAATGGTGCTAATTCGCCAGTCAGATGCCAGTAATGCGATGTGTGATGTCAGTCAAACCTCTAGCAAACAAACATGGTGAAATTCATGTTTGACATATTAATCTGAAGTATCATCATTGCTCAGCCACTTGAAAATGTGCATTAAAGCAGATGGATGTCAAAACACATTGACTAGAGAAGTGAATGGAGTCTGGTGTTGGTGTTTTACCTCAGCTGCAGCATAGTCGTTGTCTGTAGCCACAATCTGCAGCGGCTTATCCTTGTTGGTCAGGTCCATAACCATGGTGCCCACTGCAGTGACTCGGCCTTCATACTGAGGCTTCTGAAACTGTGGAGTGTGGAGGCTCTTCACCAGAACACTGATTGTGACAGTGGTGGTGGCAAACTGATAATTGTTTGTCTTCTGGGCAGCCTGGGAGAGAAAAACACACCTGAGTGAGCATTAAAGCCTAAAACCAGTTGCAATGGTGGAAAGTAACCACCACTGCTCAGGTACAATGTTGAGGTACTTGTACTTTACTTAGATATTGTGAGATTTGCCCTCTCACCTTCCTCACTCTGTCTCTCTCTTTTAGCCTCTGATTGCTGATCACATACACCTGCTCCTCACCCCTTGATTTTCACCAGCTGCACTTCATTACTTATACCCAGCTCACCTCTCACTCACTTGCCAGTTCGTTCTCTGGCTATTCTCTTTGTTCCCTCCATAGATTATTATTTTGTTGTTGTTTGGCTCCATCTAGTATCTGTTCGTTATTTCCCCTGACTTCCATTCGTTTACCTCTTCTAGCCAGCTCCTATTCTCTACACAGACTATTTCCTCCGGGCTTTGGCTCCACTCTACCCTCCCAGACAGGTCGATGCACAGTCACCAGTTTGTCTGCCAGTTCCAACGCCTCTCTGTGTTTTTTCAAGTAGCCACCATCACCCACCGACCAGCCCAGGAGTGACCCCGCAACGCAGCTCGGCCCACCTCATCCACCTCACCTATCTTCACCTCCTGCTGCTGGTCGACACCCGGTCACTCCTATTATTCATTATCCACGTACTTGTTTTGTCTGTACACTACATTGTTAATAATAAACCACAGCTTGCAGCGAAGTCGGCTACCTGGGTCCACCTCTCTCTACCGCTCGCTCACTCCAGTGTGTGAATGATTTTAACAGATATTTCTAATTTCATGCCAAATGATATTTCTACTTCATTTCAGAGAGGTCTTTTGTACTTTTTACTACACTTATCTAGTATACTTAATTTTAACATATAATAATCTTAGGAGATACAAAGTTAAAGATTAACCCAGTGGTTCCCACCCATTTTGGCTTGTGACCCTCTGCAGAGTTCTTTGGTAGCACTTTCACCAAAGAGAGATTTCCCCTTTAATTCAGATGATGGCCCAAATTGGTCGAATCATTCCTTTTTAACAAACAAGTGGAACAAAGGGAGGAAAAAAGTCTATAAAATAACCACAAATGTGCAGCAGAACCTTGTTTTTTTATTTATTCCTCTCCCATTAATCATCCCACAACCACTCAGATTTATCTTATGCCCTGTAGAGGGGCCTGTCCCCTGGGGTGGGAACCGCTGGACTAAACTGGCCAACTGTATGTAAAGCAGGTAAAACAAGCTCCACTTTGAGCAACTACATCAGTAAAATGCTTGTCAAGTACTAATGAATCAGTATTAGGAATCAGCCTTAGAAGTAAAGCCAACAGAGACAAAGACACCATCATTTGAATGAACTGTAGAGAAGCCTTTGAGTGTTTTGTCTTTACCAGCACAGTCAGACTGATGTTCCCCAACACATTGGCGGGCTTCAGCATGCTGATGTTCCCAGTGTTTGGGTTAATCTCAAACAGACCAGCATCATTTCCTAAAACACAGACAGGCTGAGCTGCTTCTACTTGTCAATAATCAACAGCTTATTTCTGTAGACATTAACATCAGAGTGGAAAATAAACCACTTTGTCATGATTCGAGCTGCTTACCGCTCAGAAATGAGTACATTATCTCTTCATTTATCCCAGAGTCTCCGTCGATGGCATAAAGTGGTCCTGGTTTCAGTGGTAGGACTCCGGTCTGCAGAGCAGGAAACACTCATCATCATGTAGCTACCAAAATAGCCAACATGGTGAAATCTCAATTTAGAGGCTGTATTTTGACCTAAATCTGCTTCAGACATAGTGCTTGCCATCTAACCTCTTTTGATGGCAGAATTACCTGAGGCTGCATCTGACAAATTCTGTAATGTTCAGTAACCAAAACACAACAATCATGGATACTTTACATGCAAAATAGAAAAAAAAAGCAAAACATGCAATTAGCTAAAATAAGAAAATTAAATATTCACACATTTAACCAAACAATGGAGCATTTAGAAAGATGCAAAAATACAGAAAACACATGGTCCAACTCATGTATCAGCATCTGCTGGACTCTCCAGAGATAACGCACCTCTTGTTCATTTAAGACGACCCTGCCAGTGTAGCCGGCACTCTGGCAGACCAGTGCGCCTCCCACATCATGCTTGGTGCAGGGCTGGAACCACGGCGGTCGGTTGTCCCCATCTAAGATGGTGACCAAAATTGTTGTGGTGCCAGTGAATGAGGCCGTGTTATCTTTTGCTGTTAGTGGTGTATCCTGAAAAGACAAAGCAGAAAATCTGTTTATTTTAGTACAAAGCAGATATAGTCTGCAGGGACCTGACAAACTGCACTGATACTAGTCTCACAAAACCAACTAATGGGCTGAAAAGTTTCTGTTCATGTACGATCCCATCATTCGTAATAAGACGCTGATTGAGAAAGTGTTTTTTATGGCCTTTAAAACCAATCAAAATAAACTGGTTGCACACATTGAGTTGAAAGAAGGAAATCTGTGTTTAGAACCAGCTGTGACCAGTACTCACCTGAGCGTATAATACCAGTTGGACATTGTTGACTTTGTCGTAGTCAAGAACCGTCTCAACGAGGAGGTCTGGGACAGTAGGTGACCTCAGTTTAAAGAAGTTCTGCAGAAGTCAAGCAAGACAATAAAAACTACTTAGATCCGACTCAAGTTAGCAGTTTCCCCTTGCTTCCCGTCTTTGTGCTAAGCTAGGCTAAACACACCATTTTATTCCTCAATAAGAGGATTTATCTAAATGTTGGACCTCCTGAGGGGCAGAAGACAAACAAACATGAGGTCTTACAGTTTTGGATATCAGTGTGTAGTACAGCTGACTGGGTTTGTCCAAGTCTGTGGCAGCGAAGCGGCCCACGGAAGTGCCTACAGGAGTTATCTGTGACAAAAAGGTACAAAAAATATAGCTTTTCTGTAAAGTTTAAGATGAAATACAAATTTTTGTAAATTTATGATAATGTAAGAGTTTGACTTCAGCTTCAATTAATCAAGTAAGAGAGAAAATAAACAATTCAAAAATCTATAATGATCAATAATTCCAGTGTATTTATCGGACTCTTACCTCACTGACACGGACATAGTAGGGGTTCTGATCAAAGACTGGAGGGTTATCATTCACGTTGATCAGTAATACAACAATGACGAGGGGCAGCTGGAAACAGAGACAATCTTTGTTTAAACACCTTAGTTTGCTGATGATTTTATGTGATTTTGTTTATTACAACCTAAAGACAGAGAATTCTGTTGTCCATATTTAAATGCAAGTAGAGCTGCACTCTCTAAGAAGGCAACATGATACAGATGTTGTTTCTTTTATTTTTGGTCTGTTTGATTTGTTTAGTAATGTGGAACAAACATATGCCCTAAAACATTATCTCGAACCTCTACAACTTTTGTGGAACCTGGAAAACTGCTACACGCACCTAGAGAATCTCTTTACACATCAGCTTTTTTAAGAACTTGTACAGCCTCCTTAAGCACCTGTGCATCTTTTTCAAGAACTTGTAAAACTTCCTCAAGAAGCTGTACAGCCTCCACAGGCCCCAGGAGAACCTCCTGAGGCACCTGGAAAACAAATGAGAGTGTGGACAACCTCCTCACGGACCTTTAAAGTCTCTTCAAGAGCCCAAACAGCAATGTCCTGAAGCATGTCCAAACCTGGAGAACCTCCCTATGCACCTGGGTAGTTATTTAGAAGACCTGTACAGGCTCCTCAAGCAACTGTAGAACCTCCCACAAACACCGGTACAACGTTCTCAAGAATTTTTATAACCTTCCCAGGTGCATGTAAAACCTTTTCTAACACCACAAGAACCTCTTCATCCACCCGTGCAGCCGCAGTATGCACTTATACAAGCTCATCACGAACCTTTACAACCTTATTAAGAAGCTGTTTGACCTTGAGCCTCTGGAGAAAATCCTGTAAAAAAGTACCTGTAAAAACTACCAGCACAAGCAGAACCTCGTCATGAAGTTGTAAAATATCCTCAAATACCAGTACAACCTTCCCAAGTCCCCAACAAAGTTCCTTAAGCAGCCTTTACAAAGTCTTCACAGGGAACCTCCTCAAGAAACCATAAAACCTCTTCAAGCAACATTGTAAAGGGTATTTGAAGAGCCTGTAGAAGTTCTTCAAACACCTTTTACAACCTTCTCAAGCACCCGGAGAATCTCAAATACAGTACATACAGTATTGGCCTGCAACTGATTCAAGAACCTTTACAGTTTCTTCTGGAGAACATTCTTAAGCATATCAAGATGCTTCAGGAAAACAGGGCTGTTAGTGTTGATTTGCTTTTTACCTTGTGTAAACACACACCATCTTGTTCATCTAGTGAAAGTATCTGCATGCTGCCTTAAGAAAATGCCATTCAGTAATTTTCACTGTGTGAACACACTACAGACTCAAACAGTTAAAGTTTATACATGTAGTGCATATTTTATCCATTTCAATTTAATATGTGAAGTTTTACCTGGGACCCTGTAGCTGTCTCAATGCAGGTGATCTCGACATCATAATTTGTTTTCTCCTGCAAACAAAACAAACTTCATGTTCAACAATGAGGATTTGTCAAAAGTCACAGATTTTGGGATTTAAACAAAGATGTGGGTTTGAATCTGGTTGTTACTAGTCATGACTTATAGTACCTCATAGTCAAAAACCCTCGCAGCAACCAGTTGGTTTCCTTCCAGCCTGAATGGGTTGTCAGAGTTTTCCTTAGAAAACCTAAGGGTCACCCCTGACTGAACACTGATGTTGGCCACGACTTCACCCACTGTATTGTTTTCTGAAAATTGTACAGACCTGTCCGCAGCACAGACTGTTGGTAGAGAAGAAGAATACAGCCATGACTGTTACAGTTTTGCATGTCTTGTACAGTGTCCCAGGGTATAACACATACTGTTATAGTTTGAGGCTGTTGAATTGGGAGCTAGGAACCTTAGTTAGCCATCTTGGGGCGGGAACATGTTTGGGGGACACTGTTTCCGAGGGCTTCTGAGCTGTCTGTTTGTCACACAGTGTTCACGGTGTACCGTTGTGCAGTTACTCAGTAAAGAGTTGAAACACACAAGCGTGCTGGAGTTTGTACCACCTCAAGATATAACACATACGGTGCGTTGTGCATGCACCTAGACAGGCGCTTATCACAACACGGTCAAAGCGCCCATTAACTAGCAATGACGCTAGATCCACAGACCTGGGTTTTGCTGCTCAGTGGTGCAGTGACTTTGTGCGCCCTCATATTACCATCTCGCTCAAAAGTTACCTGGACACACCCCATTTTCATCTGGACACACTTCCCGGCGTGAAGTGGAAAGTGCTGCTTGGTAAAAAGGCAACGTGATGCACATGTCATGAAAACGTGCAAGTAGGAAGGGACTCAACACAGAGGGTCAGTTGTACTTGAATTCAAGTGGAGATTTAAGTAAAAGGTAGTATCCAGTGTGCCAGTGGTGGTAAAATAAAAAAAAGAATTTGCAAACAAGCAGGAAGAAACACACATTTTATAATCCACTGAAACACAGAGACTGTTTTGTTATCTGAAGGCGTTTTATTAATTTATTTATGCAGCCAGCTTGGAGCACATTTGACTAGCCCATCACGTGTTTTATTAGCATTTCAGGTTGAGTCAGATCAATAAATGGTTTAGAAATGATTTCAGTGCCGGTCTAGAGCAGGTTTGTAAAACTGGACTCTGCTGTGTTCACCATATCAAATTTAAGACACTTTAATACAGAATTTCAAAAAAGGACTACAACAAATGATTTTTTTCATTATAGTGTAATGTTCCAAATACTTTCTCTCTTTGTTGATTCATCATTTTCTCTCTAAAATAGTGCTTTTGTTATTTGACCTACGGTCCAACCCACAGATCCTCAGCTTACCATCATATATGTTGAAGAAGCATCAGATTATCACATTTGAGAAGCTGGATCCAGTAACAACTTGGCATTTTTGCTAAAAATTATTAAACTAAATTTTAAGTGTCCTCTAAAGTGCTCACTTGTTCCCTATAGGTTTATAGGAACCAGTATCTATATTATTGGTATCTGACTCAGACAAATAAAGGCCCCTACTAGTATTTGTGAACTTTGTAACCACCAAAATAAATGAATTGATCAATTTATAATGTAAATAATCAAAATGTGCAGTTCTAAACTGAACATAAATGCTTACGTAAAACATCCTCACCCTCAGCTTAGACCTGCTGCAGACAAAAAGGTCCGATTGTGGCACTTGGCTGGAAGTAATCTTTTTTCAGCAGCTGAGTTTTGGTAAACAACCTGCTAGTCTGACCAACTTCCGGCTAACATGGACTACATAGAGCAGAGGTCAGTGGCTGGCCATCTTGTTCCAGGATCTCTTGGCCTCCACGCACATACTTTCCACTGTGCTGTTTCCATGTTAAACCAATTTCTTTTTCAGTCACCTGAGCTCCCTCCTGCTTTATTTACATCTAAATGTACATGGTGCCAGTAGTTAGAACTGAAGGCACCACCTTTCTGTAAGATGACACCATCAGTCAGATAAAACCGACGAGCTGGGTACTCACTGCTGGCGGCCTCACTGGACGTTTGGAGAAGAATCACAAGCAGAAAGCTGAGGGACGTCCTCAGAGTGAAAAGCAGATGTACCCTGTCCATGTTTCTGCGCGTCCTGTCTGAACTGATACTTGTCTATCTCCGTTTTCAGCTTATCTGCCTGGCTTTATGGCAGCAGTGGACTTTTCCCTGTCATAAAGTCATATCAAACATGTCTGTTTGCTGGAAAGCCATATAAGATCTTGTTCTAATCTTGTTCTAATCATCTTTATTTGGTTGAGTTGACTTGTGACATATCATGGTTACATGTTGGAAAGTATTAACGATGGTATTAATTACAGTAAGTTTTCAGGCATCTGGAGCTCCCTGTATGCACATCCTTTATGATCCTCCTCCCTCCCTTTATCAGGAGTTGTCCTCACATTTATGGTTCACACAACAACTTCACACCTAAACACATAAAGAAAAACATGAAAGACATGAAAAAATATATTGAATGTGGATTGTTTAGTTTTCTGTGGGCTTAACATGTCAAAAATGCTGATACCTAAACAATTACAAGAATAATTACTTTAAAATATCCAACATGTTGACTTGTTTCAGTCAAACTGTGGTTGCATGGTACCCTCTCTGAGTACTACCCAGCTTTGTCATTCAAACTGCAGTAGCACGGCTAAATGCATCTACTGTACTCATGTACTGTAATTAAGTACAAATTTGAGGTACTTCTGTATTTTCTTTTCATGCCATTTTATACTCCACTACAGTTCAGAGGGAAATATTGCACTTTTTACTCCACTACAATTGTCCAACAGATTTGGTTACTTTACACATTTAGATTACCCCACATTGTATGCATCTGAAGCGATTAGATGATTAATTAACCGACAGAAAAATTGGCAACTATTTTGATTTTGGTTTTTCATGTAAAATTACAAAACATTTTATGGTTCCAGCTTCTAAAAATGGAGCATTTGCTCCTTTTCCACTGAATTATTTTAATAATATACATGTTTGAAAATGATTTCAGGTTTGTACTATTGGTTTAACAAAACATTTTGACTTTGAGTTCTGGATACTTTTTAAAACCGATTGATGAATAATCATTAGATTGATCCATAAGGGGGAAAAATCATCAGTTCCAGTTTCACCTCAGCTGCATCAGTAAATTGCTGTTTAAACATTAATGCCTCAGTAAAAATAATAATATAATAATCCAATGATATAATGCACAAGAGTAAAACAGTAAGTTTGAGTTTGGCTACATCTTAACTTATGAACAGCTGGTAGATCTCAGTAACCTTGTATTAGATCTCGTTGACATCTAAATGTAGTGTGTTAATGGTGTGGCTACAGTAATCAGACCAGTAAACAGCTGAAGGACTTCATTCAACTTATTTTAATAACAAATACATGCATGTTTCTACATTAAATATGACAAAGATGCATATAAAAAGCTTTATTCAGAGCATCAGTAGCATGTTTGTCTTCCTAACATCAGATGTAATCGATGTCAGTCCATGGGCCAGTTGGCGTAGGCGGACGGACACATGTACTGTTTCAGCAGCAGGTTCACCCTCTCCAAGTTTCCCTCTACCCCACTGCAGACATAAACACAGTGATGGTTAAACACAGCTGGAGAGGGAATAGTAACTGCTACCATAACCAATAAATAACTATTTCACCATCATAAGATATTTTTATAATGTTACTATTGCAACATACCTGATGAACAATGTTACAAGTGACGGCAACATGTCTCCCCATCCCTAGTGAATATTATGCCCTTTAGAGAATCAGTGTTGTATTATCATTGTTATAATGTGTCTGAAGTCTCACACCTCTTCTTGACGCTCTGCATGCGGCGCAGGAAGGTGCAGATGGAGATGTGTTTGGCTTTAGATCGGAGGTACTCTGCGTATCTGTTGGAGAACTCGATGTCTCCCAGCTGCCTCCTGCGGTCCAGACCTAAAGACATCAGCTGCCTAAAACACAGTCACATTCAGAGCCACATCACTGTGGACCAGCACCAGGTTTTTGAAGCACCTTTGCAAGTTTTATGATTTTGAACAGCCAATTCGAGTGTTGTCAGTGCACCCATGATAAGTAGGTGATCCCTAGCAGCAGTAGTAATTATGACAATCCATCCATCCATCCATTATCTATACAGCTTAGTTCCAATAGGGACACAGTGGGCTGGAGCCAATCCCAGCTGTGAGTGGGTGAGAGGCGGGGGCCACCCTGGACAAGGCGCCCGGCTGTTCACAGGGTGGCCAGACTCACACTCACACACTCATTCACTCCTACGGGCAATTTAGAGTCTCCAGTCAACCTAAGCTGCATGTCTTTGGACTGTGGGAGGAAGCTGGATTGCCCGGAGAAAACTCACACAGGCACAGGGAGAACATGCAGACGCCGCACAGAAAGGCCCCGGGTTGGCCGGGGATCGAACCCACAACCTTCTTGCTGTGAGGTGACAGTGCTGATGAACACTTCATCTATGACACAATCTATGGAGTGAATTCATTGACATGTTTGGGGTCCATGACCATTTTTAAACTAAGCCACACACACAAGTAGCTACTAGGGGGAGAAGGGTCATAACTGAGTCATAACTATGTTCTGTTAATAAGTGACAACAAGCCATTAACTGAGGTAAGAACAGCAGTTTTAGATGAACAGTTTTATGTTTTGCTTGTTCTATAACTTGGCTCAGATCATTAGGTTTCTCACTGTGACCCCTTTTTGCATTACTATAAAAATATTGATTATAGCCCTGACTCTGTAGCATTTAAGTTTGTAAGAGCTATGAGCGCCATAGAAGAGAGAGGATTCATTTTGTTCACCAAAAAGTTTACTGTAAACTTACGTGAGTTTGGCCTCCAACAGAGCGTCTGCAGAGGTCACCCCAAACAATGACCACGGTGCGTTCAGGTGTCTGATCTCAGTCAGGAAAGTCTCCACTTCATTGTCATCACTGAGGTGACAAGAAGCACGCAACATTTAAAGGGACAGCAGGTTTTTATTAGTGCAGCATATTTCATACACAAAGGCAATTCAAAATGCATCAGAATATACAAAAGGAGACAAAATGCATAAATGCAGCTTAAATGAACTGATTAGATTAAACCAATTTTATCCCAAAGGAAATTTGTCTCTGAGGTACACACAAAAATCCAAATACACAAGATAAAAGTACATTACTCCCACGTAACCTGAACTAGAAAACTTGTACATTATACCACGATTTTAAAACGGCTGTAAAAACATATATACAAATAACATTTAATTTAATTAAAAACAAACATTTTTAAGGGAAATTTAAATGGTAAGAATAGAGACATATATACAGGATAGGTGGGCAAGAAAAAAAAATTCTCAGTAAGACAATAAAAATTTTCCTAAACTTTTTATCCACTTGTCAGTTTTGAATACAAATCAATTTGTGAAATAAAACATGTGGAAATGGAGTGTTTTATTGTATTTTGAGGCATTCCTTTGACAGAAAATTCAAGGTTAAGGTCAAGGTCAACCAGATAATTAACTGGTTTGTAGTTTTTTAGGGAAAAATGAAACACCTGTGAGGTTTGTTCAGGTGATTGTGTACCTGACAGGAAGTGATGTGGTGAGGTGGAGGAAGGCCAACAGCAGGGACAAATGAGTCACACTGAGGGATGGCATCATGAGGATGGTAAAGACGAGGGCTTCCTGAAAGAGACAAACTGATATTTCAAACCTCCAAATAGACAAACACATCCTTTAGTCTGGGTCTGTTTTCCCTGGTTTGGGCCCCTTAGTTTCAGTGAGAGAAAATATTAATTCCACTGCATACAATGACGGTTTACTTGAGAGCAGCCAACTTCCAGTGCGCTTCCAGTTTTGTGTTTGTCCCTTTCCTGTTTCAACACGACAAACCCTTGTGAACAAAGCCAGGTCCATAAAAATGGTCTGCACACAGCCCTGTTTGGAGCTTAAATTTAGCTTTCACTGCCACAACTTAAGGTTTGAGTTTGATCTGTGACCAGAGAAGGGTGAGAAGCCAGGAATACTACAATTTTTTCGTGGCAATTACTAAATTAATCAACATTAACGTTAATCAAGCTAGCCTAATTGATATTACTGCTGACTGATATTGATTTGTGTGACACACTGAAACCGCAGCTGGAACTGTTTTATACCTGTTCTTTCAAAACTACAAAACACAGTTCACTTGTAGTTGTAAGGTGATGATATACGTCTTTTCACTCACAGTCTTTGGCAAAGTACAGTCAGCAGCTTGGACAGTGGAGAAAAATACTGTGGAGCAGTTGCACAGTTAAAACTTTAACCAGCGAAAGCAACAGTCAACACCAGCTATAAACAAGGAGGAGAGAGAGAAAAGGGTCAATTGGAAATTCATACCGGGAATAAGCTCCAAAATGGAACCAGCTCTCACACAACCAACTCAGTAATCATACATCCTGATGTTGTGAATGGTCACAGGGTGTTAACACAGGAATCCCTCCAGTCGCTACAAACATCCCATATTCAGCAGGCCAACAGGATTCAGTCTATCAGTTAAACTAGGTTATAGACAGAAGGGCAGAGAGACACTTGCTTAACTGCACATTAAACCAATGAGAGAGACTCACCTGGACAGGTTGTGTTGAGAGACCAGATCAGATGGTTGCGAGGGTCAGGGCAGCCTCCTTTTGTACCCCCTCAGGAATCGACCACTCGACAGACTGTCAACTGATTTTACTGGTCTGATTATTTACTGTGTCAACATGTTGGGGATTTTCCAACTGTGGCGTCTGTTTGTTCATTCCTGAAATCTTAATGAAATGATTGGATCTGACTTCCTTAATGAGCTCTAATCACATGGCTGCTATTTGTTCACATAAAACCATCCACTCATCAATACACAGTATTGATCCTCAAATAGACATTTATATAGTTTTATTACTGTGATTTGTGCTTCTCTTTGCTTCTGTTCAGTGTGGAGAATTTGACGCTGGAGCATTAGAAGGTTTTTCAATCTTTGGGTTAAGTGATAACTAAACTGGGATTGCAATTACAAAAGTAGTTGGCTGTTAGTGTTCTATATTCATGATTAGTGAGTACTTTTAGCACACAGTTTACTACACAGTATAGTGTTCTTTGCAGAAATGTAGCTATTGTTTGTCTGTTTTGTCACTGCCTATTAATTAAGACATCTGGACACTGCAGTAACGAGTGAGAAGCAGCAGCACAGGCACATTAAAAAAAAGAAAAAAAATTAATTCCACTGGATTCAGTTGTTGAGTGAAATAAATTTTGTAAATGAACTTTGGTAAACACAAAAGTTACCCACTGGCTTTTCCCGCCCAACTGTCTTAACAGTGCTGACTTAGCTTAGCTCGTTAGCTACATTTCACCATCCGGTATTGTATGACAGTTATTATGAAACAGGAGCGGTGCAAGTCTTGAACAGAATGCATTGTCCAGCCAAGCTAACAACCTTGTTAACTTATGGCATGTTTTTTCCTCTTCTTCAATAATGCTTTACTCAAACTATATATAATCTTCAAATAGAACACGGCTATTGTTTCTGGCTTACACAGAAGTTCAACTAACCACAATCACTAGATCACCTTCATGTATACATGAAGAATTGAATTTTACATTCTCATGTGAACAAGCCCTTTTTGTGAATGTTAAATTAGCTAGCAACCCAACTAGCCTGGCAGCCAGTTTATTCTGGCTGGCCCTCTCTTATTACATCCATGTGCTGGACAGATGACCTAATGCCTGTTAGCAGGTCTGAATAGAATCAGTACGTTTACTGATGAAATAGAATTTTAGCACTTAGCTTTACAGCTACAGTAACTTGTCAAGTGGTTGCCTCCAATACCAACTATGTCCCGAGAACATGAATTAGCAATTTTCTGGTTTAACCATGTGCAACCTCTATGATAGTACAGAACCACAAACACATTCACTTAATAATTACAGCTGATTAAATGTAAATGACCATTATTATTCTCTTCCAATGAAAAATCCACTTAAGCCATCAGTCGACCTCTGCTCTGTGTGCACAAGTTTAACACATTTGGTTTATTTGGGGTTTTTACAGCAAAACACTCAGACTTGAATTGTACATCAACACAGTGTTCAGATAAATCGGCATGAAACATATGGCTGAACTAAAGGTCTTCACAGTCTATTTCATACAGACATTAAAATGTGCACAAGTATGATTTCCAGGAGCCGGCTTCGGATTGCATCTAAAATTTTAACCTGTGAAGACCTCTAGGCTAAGCTACAACTTCCACATACATAGAGAGCTACATCATTAAACTCCAGGTATTTGGTCAGATTAAGATCAAGAGAGCTCAAAAAAGTGATTAATCTGTGTTTAGGAGCACCGTGAGCTGCTACTGGTTCCCTCCTCCCTCAGTCCGAGTCCAGCTCGACATCAGTAGGGAGGAAACAAAAACAGCAGTTTGACAGTCCAGTGCTGATACTCCACTTCATTTCAGGGTCAAAGATAAAGTTATTTTCCAAAACACAAACAGAGCACCAGGCTGTGCTTTGAATGAATGTGAAGCTACAAACATCATCATTTAGAGATTCATAGACCTACCTAAGCTAAAAATTTAAAAGCCCGAGGGTGGTGCTAGAGGAAAGTTAAAAGGCTATGATAAAATAAATAGATGGGTCAAAGAACTGGACAGAGTGACATTGTCATCCTGAGGCTTAGAGAAGAAAACAACTTCTCTCCGATTGCTATTAATAAAGGACATGGAAAAATAACATTACAGAGGCTGGTACATGCAGACTATTTTCTAAGAAATTTTGTTGTCCACACTGAACATTTAAAATTCAAAAACTGCACAAATAACAAGCAAAAAAAAAACCCAAACAAACAATACAGTGAACATGTTGTGAGCAGATGGTTGCAAGTCAACAATGGACCTAACAGAGCAGCCTCTTTCAACACAGCCGCAATTCACAAAACTTCTAATCAAAAATGTGAATCTTCCACCTATGCAGTGAAACTCACAACTGGGTTTTGTGTTTTATATAAGGGAAATAATTTGCCTTTCTCACAGTGAGATGGACTCGTACACGTTTTTAGACTTGGCAAAGAAAATAGTTTGTGGATAAACATCACACTTCCTTGCATGTCCAAACATACCTGGCCATTAAAGAGGAGTCTGAAGAAAAAAAAAACTATTTGGCCAGCCTTTTCCACATGCTTTATCATAGTGGTTTGTAAAAACAGGTTGCATAGGTTGTGAGCCATGCAGATCAGCTTTAAATTATTACAACATAAACTTACCCCAAACTTTACATGAAAAAAAAAAAGACCAAGTGTGGGAGGCTGTAGTCAGACACAGTGCTGCTTTGAACTAAATGCTTACAATGGATGTTCATCATCTTTGTGTGCTAGCATGCTACAGCTGAGGCTGATGGGAGTGTCATTAATTTTGATCATAAACCAAAGCAACAAAAGTTTTTGGACAAACTGAAAGCCAGACTGCATCATCGACATCAGTACTGGACCTCACTCATGCTCTTATCACTGAGTCTCTACATCCAGGGTCAACATCTGGAAGAAGATGTTGTGAATATTATTTAAATTGTAAAAGGTTTATAGGATTATCTGTGCTGCAAAAATTAAAAGAAATTAACCATAGATGAGCACAGAAGTAACATGAGTAACTACAGCTACGATGTTGGCTCATTCTGAATGCTGCACATCTGCACAGTTTGTGTGAGAAGCAGCTGTTAGAGCATTCATTCTTCAGGTGATTTCCTCTGTGTCGTGAGTTTGCTCTGACTGAGTTCATCTGCATATTAAGAGGAAATGGAAGATTAAAATATTGTGTGCGCTGTTCAGCTTTCCTCAGCCATGTCCAGCTTGATTAACAACATTTTTTGGACTAAAATTCTCATTACCTGAATTTGCTCGAATTAAATATGTAAAAATACAATTTCAGTGCTACAACAGAGTTCAGGTGTTCCTGAGAAACATGAGTGGGAGAGCACCCTAATGGATGTGTCTGAGAAGCACAGTGCAACAGAAACCTCCACACAGTCAGACAAAGATGCCAGCTGTCTCAATAGTGCTATATTAATTTGCTGTCAGCATTATACCATTATAGATCACGTGCAAGAGATTTAATTTCAGCCTTTCATGAATGTGGATCAAACCCTGACTCCTAATGGTCACATGACCCTGAGAATGAGCGTTAGGTGTCTGGCATCCTTAAAACATGTCACAGGTAGGTTCAGGATATTACATGAGAGTAACTGGTAGCCAAGAACAAGACAAGTCAACAGGACAACGAGAAAAGTATCTCAACATGTCCACAAGACAAGTCCAAGTCAAAATGGCTACGTAGCCCCAAACCAGTCCGATTTAAGAGAAACAGAGACCAGATTACAACCAGACTTTCCAGGTGTCCCAAGGGACAATGTTTAGAGCAATGGTTTGTTTTTTTTTGTCCTTTTTTCCCCACCTACAGGAAGTGCTGTCTGGTTGCATATTACATTACTGTTAGAGGCAACATTTGTAGACTGAAGATGACAATATCATTGTCATATTCTGAGGATTATAGGGAAGAAAATATTACTGACCAGGGTGGGTCTCATGTTCAGGAGGGTACTTCAATATTAAAACTAAATCAGGTGCCAGACACCCACTAGTCATTCAACTGGTCGCACTGAAACACCAACAGTGTGACTCGGAACAAAGGGTGAATCTGGGTGTATAAGCTCCTGACTGGGAACGCATTTAAAGCTGATCAGGGAGTTTTAAGGAAATTGTACATCACTTTCTGTCTGTGAGGATGTCGTTTTTTGGGCTTTCAGACCCTGAAAGTAAAGCTCCGTTACAACATACCCTGTCAAGTCCTCTGGTTAAGGATGTGATGAGTGTTGCATCATGGCAGAGGCAGCAGTGATGTAGGCAGCGGCAGCAGTGATGTAGGCAGCGGCTGGAAACAGAAGACAACTCCAGTGTCTGACATGGATTAATGGGGGTACCAGTCTAAATTGCACAGGGGTTAGTGAGTTCCTCAAACACTGCAGGTTCTTCAATCCCTCTTGCAAACAGTTTGATCAACTGGCGGTGCACTCTGGAGAAAAACACAAAGGAGAAGGCTTTTAAGATATGTTTAAACTGGGTCCCAATATTTAACAGCAAAGTATGAAACTCTGAGGGTTGTAGTACTTCACTTCGATGGCCGTGTGGGTCAGGATCTCGCCATCGCAGTTCCAGCTGCTGTAGGCGGGAGCACAGCCACAGGCTGGGTGGTCTCGGCAGATCTGACTGAAGATCTGGTGTTTGCCATTCTCCTGCAGGTCAAGTTCCAGGTCTGAGTCGCTCTGGCAGTAACGCGGCGTGAAGCGGAAACGCTGCACCCGGTGGACCTCGACATAGGTCAGATCAAACTAGTTGAGACAGAATTAGGGAAAGGAGAAAGATAGCGTGAGAGAGTTCTGAAAGAAACCAGATCTGGACCAGTTCAGACATTTAATTTTGTGCACTGTGGTGTTTCACCATTATCACAAGTGGAGAGACCAGAAACCAGATGCTGGTTGCAGAGCTGCATCAATTAGCTCAATCAATTCAACTGAAACTATTTTAATAATCAATCTTTTCAGTCCCTTTTCAAGCGATAAGGCCAAATATTATCTGGTTTCAACTTCTTAAATATGAAGATTTGCTGCTTTTCATTACCATATTAGATATTAATGAGAATACCTTTGGGTCATCTCAAAAGCGATGCAGTGTTTGGTTAGTATTTGGATGGGGGGCCACCTGGGAATACCCCCTGCCACCGGGGCTGCACACACTAGTGCACTCTATGTGCCGGTGTCAAGCCCAGATAAAATGAGAGAGCTGCGCCAGGAAGTGGTGCCCAATCACACGTGACTCACAGTAATCTGCTTTGGTGACCCCCAAACTATGGGGGGCACCCAAAAGACAGGCAACCTTTGGATTGTTGGTGTGATAAGAAATTAGAAGATGTCACCTGGTAAACTATAAAGGTCATGTTTTCATATATTCTGACATTTCATGGACAAAAACTATTGATTAGTTGAGAAAATAATGGCCAGATTAATCACGAATCACAAGTTGCAGCCCTACGTGATTCATTATGTTGCACTGCTACTGTACCTGGTCGTCTTTGCTGGTGTGTCGAAGGAGGTGTCTGAGGAAGTCAAAACGGGAACATTTTCGGACCAGGATGAGGTCAGCGGTGCCATCGGCCAGGTGAGCGGCAGGTGAAAGGCCTTTGGGGCTGCGAGGACAAGCACAGCTCATACTGGCAGCGTTTATAGCCAGAAACTTGCCTCGGATTGTCCTCCACTTGCTGTCACTTTCTGGGTGGGGGGTGGGGGTAAAAAGACCAATTTGACCTTTCTCACTGTTGCTACTGCCAAACCTTTGTCATAATGTCAAGTTCTGAAAAGTTCAGCGTTTATGAAGAAAAGGTTTAGAAAAGTTTTGATATTTTAACCACAGCCAACATTTCATACATTTAGTAGCATCTAAAGGGGCTACCAGAGCTCACAGACCAATCAAAGAACAGTATGCAGTGGAAACGTTGAGCTACTACAAACAAGAAATCCATCTTCATTCAATAATATAACACACTGGACAACTTTAAAAATCATTATTGACTTTGGAAATGGGACGACCCACAAAACATCACCAAAACCTACTAGACCTTGATCTGAAAAATACAAGGAATTTGACTCCAGCTCAATGGCCCCCGATGTACACCAAATAAACTGAATAAAAAACAAGATGACAAACAGGTCTCTATTTTTAAGTACTCTATTTTCATTCTTTGTGCCTCATTTCCAAATGCACATTCCGTGGTTTGCTTGCATTGTTTACATTGTTATATTATATAGCCTTATATTGGCGTACTGCTTATTTGTCCTTTGTTATTACCTTACAAAAAGTTATGTACAAACACATTGAGAGCCGCTGTACCAGAGTGAAATTCCTCATGTCCAACACAGCTGGCAAATAAAGCTGATTATGAAAACTGAGTTTAAGATTGTTTCATCAACTTTAAGAAGGTATTATAAGCATTTCAACGGTGGCGATTTTAGTTTCTTATGTAAATGATGATTATGTAGCATGCCCCAGGGTTCTATTCATGGACCACGTGCATTTCCAAATACAATATAAATAAATTCAGAGATACAACGTTTTGGAGTTGGTGAAATGTCACTTTCCAGTCCAGGTATGTAGTCCAGAGTTCAGTACTTTTCTTATAAACTGTGGTCTAGCACCTCTGGAGGAGGATTTGATAGACTCACCACTGTCTGATGCTTCGTCCACCTCGTACGTCTCAGCTGTCTCTGAAAGTAGTTGCCCGTTGTGCTGACAAACCAAACAGCTGGAAATGTACAGATACACAGATGTTACTTTCAAAAAGGCAAAAACAACAGTTTGATTTCGTGGCCAGAACCCAACTGTTTTAGCTGCTAAACTGAACTGTCTGCTAATCTGATGCAAACCGAACAGTTGTGAAAAGTTAAATGTAATTTGACAAGAGGATTCTTTTGAAGACATCAGTAAAACATCTTCCTCACCCGGTTCGACACCTGGTGGCATCTCGTGGTGTTCCTATGATACCTCTGGCCGGCAGATAGGACACTGTGCCTTCATAGTAATGATGAGTCAGGAACATCTTCACACCTGCAAGATGTAGAATGACTACATGAAACCAGCAACCAAGGATTACTGTCAACATCACCATCAGTGCAGTCTGCTCACAGACATGAGAGCCCCTCACTCAGACTTTCATATATTAGGCCAACCTGTACAGCTAACTAACCGATTCCCAACATCACACTGCCTGTATACAGTTGGCAGGATGTCTCTGTTTAAAACCTAGGATTGTAATCAATAATGACAGATTGCCCCTCAAACCCTTCACAGTCCCATATGTTGATTTTGTACCTGAGAAGTCGTATCTGGCCCGTCCCATCCATCGCTTCCTCTCACTGTCAGTTAGCAGATCACCATAGAAACCATATCCCAGCAGAGAGACAGAGAATCGCAGGAATGTGTTGTTGTGGTGAACTGAGCACATGTCCATCGGCTGAGAGTCTCCTGAACACAAAACGACAATCAGCAAACCAACCGGAAGTAAATTTTAGGTAAGACTCAAAGTTTTGTTTTTAAGAAACACACACACACAAGCCCTAGACCTTCCAGCAGTTATACCACAGGTTGAATCGCCAATCAGAGTTCAGACTCACACACCCAAGGAAATCGGGGAAGCTAAGTGTAGCAATAAATAAGGTTTTAGTCTGTAAAGTTGGCTATGCCTCCTGCAGTGCAGGGTATTTGACTTGAAACATGCCAATTATTCAGTATGCAAAATAGTTAATTTTCTGTTGACTAATTGATAAATCGTTACAGGTTTAAATTGGAATTTTGCATATAAGGAAATGCGATGTAGCTCAGATAACATTTGAATTAGCTGAATAATCAATACATTGAGAGAAAAATAATGTGCTAGTATTCTGATAATTTATAATTTATGCAATTTTAGAAGCAAAAACAGTGAATTAATGTCAAATAGTCTTTGATATTAACATCTTAAATGAGAAGATTTCCTAATTTTCTTTGTCACAAATTCTAAGTTAAATACTTTTTGGACTTTTGGTGGAACAAAACAAACCATATGAAGACGCCTGGCCTTGCGAGGGGCATTTTCATAAACAAAACTATCCATCAAAACAAAATAACAGTCTGGTAATAAAATTAATGATTAGTTACAGCCCTAGCTTTTGTGTTAGTGTCCCCTCTTATAGGACATGGGTCAGTTTTTTCATACCTTCATCCTTCTATGAGCTTCATGGGTCTTTTTATAAGTAGGTTAAATTCCATCAGTGCAGGACAAACATCATCCTTTGAGTTCATTTTAGATTTTATTCACAGGTGTGTGACAAGTTAATAACCTGTCTGGTGCTGATGTGATTTATGTTACAGCTCATACAAAGTGAGACCATTCAACTGACCCACTATGATGTGCAGTGCAGAGGTCACGGGGTCACTGGTGCCCACAGTGGCAAAGCAGATACAGTCTGTGGAACCTGAAACAGAGAAACAGATGAGATGAACATTACACAAATCAGGTAGCGCTCATGTCTGGTTGCTCCTCATTTACAGTTACTTTATATTTAGTACTGTAGAAAGGTCCAGTGGAGTTACTGACCAAATCAAACACTGTGCTTAAAGGTGCATTAACTAAGATTTTAAACATTTTGTGATAACCCCAGGGACAGTGGGACAGGACGTGGTGTCTCTCTGCAACAACAGGGTTAACATGGGTTTGGCTGTTTGACATGGAGAGGGTTAAAAGCAGCCAGAGGACTCAGACTGGATTCAGATGTGGTGTTCTTCCTTCTGGACGTGTTAGCATCTAAAGCTAACCTGTTTGTTTTGGTAGCATTAGCCACCTAGCATGGTCAGGATTTTACCTTTGTGTTCAATTAATATGATTTTAATTTGGGAGGAACTGGAGCTTTGTGTAACGTCAGTGCTTTTGTGTCACATTAGTAGGAACCAGAGTGTTGTACTGGACTGACACATTTACTGTTAGCCAGCTGACGCTAGCTTTAGACTGGGGGCTGCAGTTTGTACAGTTTGTCCTAACCAGGCATCTGTAGTTTATGTCATTGCTGGGAAACAGGGTGTGATGGGATGGGCAGAGAGCAGTTAGGAGTGGGTTATGGCGTCAGTTTGTTCTGAGTCTCACTAGAGCCTCTAGGCTGAAAAGACATTAGGTAGCTTTAATTAGGCAAGATTTATGAAATTGTGCATTCTGAGCACAGCAACACTGCTGCACAAGGCATCACACATACAAACACCTGCACCAATCACAGCAGCCATAAATTAACCAGGTGAGCGGCTTCTCCTCGACTGCTGCAGAGAGGATGAATGTCTCCCTGATGACTGGGTGTATTTATAGAGCACTTAAGCAGAACAACAGAAAACAAAGGACACAAACAGAGGCAACAAAATGAGCAACCTGCATTTATACCCAGAAAAAATAGAATCCTGCTCTCTGATTAGCTGTCAGCTCTCCATTAAAATTGTCGTTACATGTTTGAAAGAATAAATCAAATCAAATAAAATCATAGCACCTCAACAGTTTAACAACTGATCGAAATCGGAGTTCACTTTATATTAGCCCTCTGCAGTCTGGCTATTCATCAGTGAATACACTGAGCATGTTTTGTTCAATAGTAATATAACTTTACTTACATACCACTTAGAGGCAAGGTGAACACCAGAATCACATTTATGTCTTACATAGATTGACAATTATTTACCTGGACAGACAGACATAGATCTCAACAACCTGGTGAGAGATAATGCAACTGCCTAAATCAAATAAAAAAGATACAAGCAGTACTTTTGTCTACACCTGATTTCCAGTCAGCAGAGTCACATCAACGGTTCTGACCTGCAGGAATGATCCCGATACGAAGTGAGCAGGGAAGCAGTGTTTCATCCGCACAATTCAGATCTACGCCGCCATCGATCTGTGTCCTCCAGATCAGTCCATGGATAATCTCACTGAACATGCCGTCTCCCCCGACACACACCACGCTGAGCCGGGATCAAAAGGTCAGAGTGACGTGTTAGTAGTGAAACAAAGCTAAACTGTAGAAAATATCACATCATTCCATTTATTTTTTTAATGTAAGGATAAATTGACTAATGGGAAATGACCACACGTAATAAAACAAGACTCCGTGATGCTTTTATTTTGGATGTCTCACAGGTGTTTTGTGCTCTGAGATGTAAATATAGTATAAACCAGATACAGGGTTCCCTCTCTTTTCAATAAATAACTTTCCAGACCATTTTCAGTGACATAAGACTGGTTCATCTGTGGAAGTCTCCTTACAATCCTACCCTATGTGTCAATCTGCTGCTCTGTAACTGCAGGAAGACTCACCCATCAAACTTCTTCAGCTCCACCTCTGACCTCAGGTGATCTCTGGCATGATTGGCGTACTCCGTCACTGCGACAACAAATGCACACACAAAATGCATTTTACATGTCTAAAACCTGATGTGAGAAGCTGAAGAACGTGAAAAGAGTGATGCACGACGTACCGATCACATCCGTGGAGATGCCAGCCTGGGCAAACAGCGGGGCCACCTTCTGCTCGTAGATGCGTTTGCCCTGTCGTTTCCCACTGTACGGGTTGATGTAAACCAGCAGGTGTTGGGGTCTGCTGGCTGTAAACAACAACAACAACATTACTGACAGTTTCCTGTAACAATGTGTGTTAGTGTGTTGGTGAGAAGTTGTACCGATAGAGGTGAGCTGCTCTCTGATGTTGTTGACCCATCGCTTACACAGTGCCCCCTCTGCACACGTGAAGGTGACCTCGGCACACCGCCAGCGGTGCTGCTGACCCCTCTCCACGTACAACACTGACACACAACACACAAACAAGTCAGATCGAAAACTATTTTGATTAGCTGCTTCAAATGAAAACATTTCACCAACAAGTCAAGGGGATGCTTTTATTGTGAAAAACTACAGGAAGTGTTCTAGGTATGTTTACTGGGTTTTCAGGTCTGAGTCTTCACATGTGTTTCCAGATGTTCTACAGGTAGGTGCTTAAAGAGGTTTCCAGCTGTTTGTTTACTGTACGAACACGCGTTTCCAGGTATGTTTGTGTTTTCTAGTGTTAGCAAGTGCATTTCCAGATACGTTACATCCAGGTATGTTAAATGTATGTGCATGTGCATTTCCTGGTGTGTCATGGGGATTTCAATTTTATTTACCGTGTCTTCAGGTGAGTTTCCAAGAGTCTTTCCACACGTTTTACTGTGTTAACACATGCAGTGGTTTCAAGTGTGATTCCAGGTGTGTTTAATGTGCATCCATGTTTGCTCTCTGTGCGTATAGGCATATTTCCAGATATGCTTAATATATGTCTAAGTGTATTAACTGTATTTTCAGTTGTTTCCCCCTTGTTTGTTTAATGTGCTTCAGGTTTTAGTATTGTGCTTTCAGGTGTTTCCAGATGTGTTAGCTTATTTTCCAGGTGTGGCTACCTGTGAAGGCCTGCCTGCAGTCCTTCCCTTCTCTCTCTTTGATCTTTTTCCAGCTGCCATCGTCTCTTCTTCTGCTGCCGTTATCCTCCTCTTCCTCTCGGACAGAGATGATCTCTGACACTGAGACACTGTGGCACACACCTGAACAACGCACACACAGTTTGTTAACTCAACCCTCTCGTCAGATCAGATTTCGGAGCCTCTGTGCAGCATGTGAACGCAGACAGACAGCAGGTTATCTTTCAGTTTCAGGTGTGAGGTCACTGTGACCACAATAAAACCACATATTCACTGTGATGCAAAAGATCTCGCATGATATTTAAAGAAACAAACTATTTTTGGTCACATAGCTCATATTTAATCAACATTTAGGTGAATATAGAAGTCGCGTCAGACTCAGATAACCAATATTAAAAGGACTAAGATCAGGATTGGAGCCAAACCAGACTTGATCAGGACATCTAACATCTGCTTTGGTTTCTTGTAGGTTTTTTAGAGAGGATTTAAAGATTGTATTGACCAGCTGTACAGTGTATGTCATACTGGCTCCTGGCTCTGTCACTGACCTACTATAAGGCTTCTACACGTAGTTTTCATGGATTTTGAATGATGTTATATAAAACACTTTGCAGGATGTTTATTAAGATTTTGCAGCTCTTGTTCCGGCACTAAACAAAGAAATTCAAGAGGTCAGGAGCAGTAAACTTTTACTTCATTCTATGTCACATCTCAGTAAACACGTGCACAATACGGGCACCGGGTCCTGGAGTGCATTCACATGAACACTGCTGCGGTTACACTCATTTACATCATTAGTTTTGGTAAATACAACAATATCTTGCACACTTGACAGTAATTTGCGACAAGGTTTTGTAAATATCCCCCTTAGTAAGTCAAACCTCAGACCTTCAGCAACCTGTCGATCACATGAATGATACCTTCATCACAGAAGCTTGATACTGTTAATGCTGAGGTCGAGAGAGAAACTGAAGCATGGAACGACTTTCAAGAGTTAAATTCTGCTGCTGTTTCCACAGAGACAGCCAGAGGAAAACTAGGAAACATGAGACAGAAAGACGACACATGAACTGAGATGCTGTAGAGATACAATGCCACCAAACTGTCATCACTGTCCTGCTGCTCTGTTTACACCTGTAGGCACCACAGAGGCTGAATGAGGTTAGGCATGTTGTGGCATAGGCAACAATCAGCCTTTCCTGAAGGGTACGTACTGGGCCATTTACTGTTCACGCTCCAAATAAACCATGCACCTCCACAGACACTAGGCTTTTAAGCAGATGTCTCTACTTCAGCTACATCGGAACCACAATCTACCTTTAGAGTTCAGACATCTCTGCACAATCTCAAGCTTGTAGTGAATGCTGACAAGGCAAAATGTGTTTTATCAAGAAACTCAGTCCAACCCATAAAAGCAGTGGTAATGAAACTGAAACTGTTCAGTCTTAGAAATACATGAGACTTTGGCTACAGCATGGAGCAACTGGCAGAGAAAACCTTTTGCATCTAAATAAACCATAGCTTAGTGTTTGACCACGCTCTGCCTTAACAGTTCTATAAAGTTTATCATTACAAGAGACAAATACCACATATCGCTGTGTACTACAGTATGTGACAACACAGTTTACTTCATAGCTTTATACCATTTAGGGTTCTTCACTGGACTTGAACTGTTTACACAAAAATAAAAACTGGAAAGTGAGGGTGTTCTAAATCTTCTGGCCGATATTAAATTTCAAAACAAGTACTGTTGTGTCACCATTCAGGCCGAGCTGCTCGACCTGTTAAACATGGAGCGTACCAGGTGGAAAGTAGTGCACGGAGAAAGTCGGTGAGCTACACAAGCTGAGCTTCTAGAGCTGACGGTGACGTCATCAGGTAAACAACAGTCCAACCCTCAAGACATTTAGTTTACACACTCCAGAACTAAGACTATGTCTTTGAAAACACAAGTTTTATTCCAAAACATCAAGACTAACTAATGAAACCGAATCTAGTCATAGTAGTGGTTCCTTTTCTGGTTTTAAGATTCATTTTTAACATTGCTGACTGACTTTTCTTTTTTTTTTTTTTTTACTTCAGAGTACGTTTTCAGCATTTTGGAACAAAACTGCTTGAACAAACAGAGTTCAGTCATCAAACACAGAAACATGCTCCAACACCAGCACCACATCACTAAAACTGCAGCTTGCAGGTGGAGGGGGGCACATTGCATTGTGGGAAAACATCTCCTACCTGAATCAGGTTGACGAGGGAACGAAGGAACACAAAATCCTGGAGGAGAACCACATAGTTACCAAACACTCCAGGGCAGAGTCCATCAAACGAGTCAGTCGCCGTGGGAGGGTCACAGTTTTCTAGCACCTTCCACAGGGTGAAGCTAACAAAGCTAATCAAACATGTAGGAGTATCACTCAAAACTTCAGTAGTTCCTTCAATCTAATCAGGACTGCAGTTAATTATTCTCATCAATTAAACGGCCAAATATTTTCCCAATTAATCAACTTGTCAACACATTTTTTTGTCTCTGACACTGCAGAATACATGAAGCCACCTTCTGACTCTGGATCGGTTTAGGATGAGTTCAGCTGGGGCAGCCTGGAGTCACTCAGCAGGTCACAGTGGACCCTGAAGCAGCCTCGCTTGAAAACCTTCTGGCTCCACTGCTTTGAATAATCAAATCGTCGGTTCAGTCAGATGGATGGACCATCACCAGACCTGCCACTGGGTCAGTTTTCAGACATTACAGACGAAAAGATTTCAGTCAACTGAGAAAATAATGGCAGGATTAATCAGTGTTAGTTACCAATAATGTAGAACAACTAAAGAGGATCCTGCACTATTAGCTCATCTATCTTGTAGTATTGTGTTGTGTGTAGTTAACACAGTGCTCTCAAGATACATAAATAAAATGACTCCAGGGTTGGACCATGGTACCGCCGTGGGGAGAGGGTGAGTGTATATGTCAGCCTAAACTGTTTCAAACATGTCACCTGTTCAGATCAACAACACACTGCTCATTTTACAACAACAACACAGTTCAGCAACAAATCAACAATCACTTGCAAAAGAGACTGGAATGTAAGTTTTCCCACTGACGTGTTGGATTAGCAAACACCAGTCCAGACGTGACGCAGTGTCCCATTGATGATAGGATGCAAACATACCAGAGAACACACAAGCTGAGCAGCTGTCCTGTTAGAACATGAAGGAGCTCAGCAAACGCTGCACATCCAGTGTGTGAAGCCAGCGGGGAAACAAATTGACTTTTTTTCTGCATCTGGATCTGATGATGCTGTTAGGATTACTGAGAACAGCTTTCCACAAGTCCCCCTTTATGTACCCAACTGTAGCACATAAAAATACTTTAACTAGAGTAGCAGTGTTAACTAGTAGTAAAGTGCAAGTACCTCAAGTTAGGTCAACACCTGGATTATCTGATAACAACATAGCATGTTTTCATCTTCTAAGTTCACAGAAGAAACTGATAAACAGTTGCCTTCATCAAACAGACACACAGCAACATGTTAATTCCACCGTCCTTCTAGATCTGGTTTGATAAAAAAAAAAAAAAAAAAAAAAAAAAAATTGCAGGGCCCATGTTTTTTGGCAGGTTAATCAGATTTGTGTTTACTGAAAAACAGCTGCTATCAAAACACTGAGATGGAACTAAACAGGTTAAAGCTGGAAAAACTAAATATTGAGCTGAAGGATGCTGAAAAGCTCCACTGAGCTGAGGAGAACTACCGAGTTTCACACACAGGTGGTCGTGTGACTCATATTATATAAAAACACTTGAAGTCTGGGGCTGGTCCACTGAGCATTTCAGAGGAACCAAGGTCAGAACAAAGCAAAGGACCATACTATAACATTCAAAGACACAAAAGCACCAGAGACACACTACAAAGAAACAAAACCACCACAAGGAGGCGCACTGCAAAGAGACAACTTCCACAGAGAAGCACAACAATCACCAAAGTGCACTACAAAGACACATAGAAACGTCACGCTACAAAGAGACACACTGCACAAAACCACCAGAGAGACACTAGCAAAGCACCACAAAGAGACACACTGTAACTACCACAGAGGGACTACCCACTTTGTTATATGTATATTGTCCCTTCCACGTCCACCAGCTTCCTAACAGCCAAATACTGTCCACAGCAGGAACGGGGGCTTTGAAACGTAAGACTTTTAATACCTTCTAACAACCGTCCTCTTTTTCACAGAGAACTGAGCTCAGCGACGTCTCAGGAGAAAAGTACGGGGTTTGTGCCCCCCCCCGCCCCCCGCCGGGGCACCGCCCCGACCACTGGCCT